ATTCGGAATCAGCGTCAAAAACTGCATCAAATCATATATGTTTTAGTGAAAACTATTTTTCCAATGGAAAATCGACCTGTAGGGGAGTAGGGGAAAAATTTTAGCAAAAAAAGACTTGAGGGGGACTACCGGACGGTTTTCCGTCGAAAATAGTTTTTACTAAAACATATATGATTTGATGCAGTTTTTGACGCTGATTCCGAATATGCTATCTATTTTGCATTTTGACGGGACCATGATAATAAAAACGCTAAATACAGACCCATTTTTCTTCCTTTCGTCTCATGTTGCCACTAGACGGGAAAAATATTCAATTCTTTCAGTAATAAAACAGAATTTAAAAAAACTAAATAGTAACCGTTGTAGCCCATGATCTAACGATTCTAACGAGATAAGGTAGTTGATTCTATCTCTTGCTACAAAAAACTAGATAGATTTACAAGAATGCTCAGTGACACATACTTTTGGCCTGATGGACCTATTTATATCGGACAGAATTTTTTTAGTCTTATTAGCTCTACATCTAATCAAATGACAGTATCTACTCAGTTTTTCATGCTGATTCAGAATATAGTATTTTCAAAAAGTTCAGAAAATAACTGAAATAAAAATTTGACAATTTCTATAGAAAAAGTAAATTTAACGTAAAAATGCTATTTTCTTAGTCATTCTAGTTTTTTAAGGTTTTCTCAGTCAAAAAGTCGTTGAATCAAAATAAAAAGTGTATATTCGTGATCAGCTTTTCAAGCTCTATCACACCATATACAAACAGACGAGAAAAAAAATTCACTCCAATTTTGCATTTCCGGCACCTTAACAACAGATCCATCGTGTTTCACATTTTTAATCCCGCATGGGATTGCGCTAACAGGTTTTATTTCTGTTTGAAATGAATATATAAAAAAAATGCTTTTTGCAGCAGTTATCTCTTTATTTTCATATCTTAATTATTATCGTCTTTTGATCACTCTCTGACGAAAAAAAATGAAAATGATCGACTTTTTAACGTATAAATACGAATGATTTTCCATGTGAAAATCATTCAATTTATTGAATCAAATTCTAATCTTTTCTTTTTATATTTTAGATTTGCTTCAACGGTACAAAATTATTCAAATCAACACAATAAATAAAATGTAGGTATTAGTTTTAATTTTTTTTCTTTTTACGATTATTTGGAGGGTGGTAAGTCCTCCTATGATCTTTTTTATATATGTTTTTATATTTTAGCCATTGACTAATGAAGAAATAGATTATAGGGGTAAGTTATCTTTTTTTTCTTCATCGTTTAATATTTTTTTTCTTTTTCTTTTAGTTATCCACATCATTCAACATCGACAACTGATTTTTTTTTCTTGAGATGAGATAAGTTAGAGTGAGTGAGGTACGTGGAGATTGGGATTTCGCCTTATAAGAAGGACTTCCGGGTAGTCTCTAAAAGCTCGGCCAGGAACTGTCTTGGTGTCCGTGGCACACGATCGGGCCCCCAGACTCGCTGACATATGACATCGGATGGGTGCATGTGGATGATGTGGGTCTTCCCGCGTGTGCATGAGCATTACGCTCGCCACGGCTCCACCAGGATGGTTCCTGGTCGCGCGCGCGTGCGAATTGAATAGCTTGTTATTCATTTTTCATTCAATCACGATTTATTTAAAAGAGAAAGAGAACAAAGCGATATTAAATTTTTGTACTCGATGATTTCCATATTCGGCGACATAGAGATTGCCATGTCGATCGAATGATAAACCTATGGGACAAGCGAGTTGATTGGACTGTGCTCCATAACCGTTTTTACCAACAATGACACTTCCTTGTGTGGCTCCTTTTGGCCAACGCATGATTCGATGATTCCCTAGATCGGCGACATAGACAGTACCCAATTGATCGACAACGACTCCTTGAGGACAAAACAATTGTGTAAGACTATTTCCTTGTCCATGACCACCGGCTACGATAATGCCTTGTGTTGTACCTTCTTCCCATTTCATTACACGATGATTGTAACAATCAGACACATAAACTGAATGATCTCGATCGAGAAATACGTAAGAGGGACCAGATAGTTGATCGAGACGGCTTCCTTGTCCATTGCCACCTGCAACTACTGTTCCTTTAGTGTCACCAATTTTATATCGTCTCACTTCATGTTTTCCATCGTCAACGACATAGAGAAAATCATTGTCGTCCATTGTCAAACCCCAGCAAGAGATATTTGAAATAATTGTTTCTCCACGAGTACCATTTCGACGAGGCCATTGAACTACTCTTTTATTCATAACATCGGAGATGATGAGACTAACGCTGTCTTTGTCGATAATCACATCAAGTGGGTGATTTAACTGATGAATTCCATTTCCTTCTCCATTTCCACCAGCAACTACTTTTCTGTTTGTTGCACCAGATTTCCATTCCACAATACGATGATTATACGGATCAGCGACATAAATCGTTAGATCGTCGTCGACATACAAACCCCATGGACGATCGAGTTGATTGGTTTCACTGCCTTTTCCATTTCCTCCAGCAACAGTGATACCATTCTGTGACCATTTTGCATTCGGATGAATATCAATGGAACTCGCACGTAGTGGTACTGAAATGAAAACAAAAGTATGAAGTAGAAATAAACATCGATTTCATTGAAATGAGTCATTCTCATTGATTTTAAACAATATTGAACTGCTCTCAATTACAAAAGTTTTTTACTTATGAACTTGATTTGAATCTGGTTTTTCTCAATGTTGAAAACAAAACATTGTTGATTTTTTCAAATATTTTGTGTAAGAATCCTTAGTTTTACTAAAGCTAACTAAAATTTAACTGATAATGTGAAAAATTGCGATAAACTCGAATTTTATCATTAATGAAATTTTCTTTTTTATCGAATTTTTCCAACATATTTACTGATTTTGTTAGTTCGACTATGAAATATATTTAGATTTTGCATATCATTAATTTAAAAATCATTTCATTTTTTTTTGTTTGGATTTTACAATAAAATGAGTTATAATAGAATTTGAACGTAAGGAAAAACAATTTTGTTATCAGTTGATAGGAAACGATGTATGATTTATGTTCGTCACACATTTCTGAGTGAAATGAGACAAAATAAATTTGCCACTTTTATATGAATTCGTTAAAAACATCTTGCTAGATAATAACAATAGTTAATTATACTTAACTGCCATGCATAAGACATTTTTTGACTGATTCATATAAAAAAATTACAAATTTTTTGTGTAAGTATTTTTCTTTCTTATTCCATTTACGAATGTGTGACAAATATAAATCATACATCATTCGAAAGTATTTTATGC